AGTGGAACCACGTATCTACAAGTGTATCTTATATTTATGAAGAAATAACCCGAGAAACTGTCACGAGTAGATGTTAGAAAAATATCGAAATATAGGGATGTCTTTACTACAAAACTGACGAAAGCTACAACTTGGATCCTGCATTAGTGTGACCAACAGGCAGAACATGATTTTATTAAGTTAATAGCCCTCTTGACCACACATTACCGAAAGAAAAATCCGGCCTTTTCAATTTGAGACCAATTGGTTACCCTGTTTGCCAAAATCTGCTATATTGGTCACTTTGGCCTCAACGTGCGGCCTCAAAACGGCCCCTAATGACGCGGCTACATAGCCGTGTTACTTCCCGCACAAAGTTGAATGTGTATCCTAAGTTTGAAGTCAGTAGCTTTAAAGATGTGGCCGCCCACAAGGAACAGACCCACAGAGAGAAAAAATAGAGAGAGAGAGAAACATTCGCGCTTATATATATATTAATAAAAAGTACAAACGTTTGCAATAATCACTGACCTAGCTTTCTTAACTCCTTAATTTCCCCGAAAGGGGACCAGAGGCCGCCTGGATTGGTCACCTGTTTTAACTACTCGCACCACTGTACAGTAGTGTGTTTGTTGCCTTATCAATCAGTTAGTCGGTAGACACTAAAATAACGTCACACAAGGGACACTTAACATTGCAAGTTGTACTGTCGTGACGTCAATAAAACGTGCGGATGGCGTAAATCACGAGAAAGATTATTCATTCTGTGCCCTACAACACAGCATGACATATGGACTTGAAAAGCAAGAGATAAAAATAATTATTACTCTTAATTTTTGTTTTATTTACTCTGGAAATATAACACTTTCGGGTGACCCTGCGGAAGTACATTAGTTTAATAACTTTAATAATGCAATTCAGTTATATTTGTTTCATCTTCAGCTGATAGATCTATGTTATGAACTAAAGTTTTCAATTCTCTTACTAACTATACGTATTCTCAGTTCATAATATCAGTTGGAGCAAATAATACACAATAAATCGCTTTTTTAATATCCTACTGTAGCAGGCGAGAAACTATCTTACACCCAAGGACGTTGTGGTTTTAAGCATCCTGGTATCGCTTGTATAACTTCGTTACAACTTATAAATTAATAATAAATTTATCGTTCGTACAATCCGATTTGATCAAAAGCATGTTTGTACAACTTCCCCTTTTTAACGTGTTTTGATGTTTAGAATATATACTGAAAGTCTTCCGTAATATATATATATTAATTTGTTAATTGTATATGTATTTTATATAGTGTAAATATAATTAAGGGTTTTGTGATACATATATGTGTTTATGTACGTTATATCATATACATATATATATATATATATATATATGTAATATTTATATATATTTGTTTCCTATATATATGTATATGTGGAGTGGAGTAGAGTAGTGAGACCAATTATGCACTAATATCTAATAAAGCTAATAAACCTTGTTTATTTCATGCAGTGAATGAATTAAGATATTATTAGTCGCTGGTATTCTTCTGTATGTAATATGCTAATAATATGAATTAATCAAATACGACTCAAATATTCATATAACGTTATATATACACACAGATAGATAGAGTGTATAATTTTTATCCATCTTTCCATTTTTACGATATTTAGAGGGTTTCTGAGCTATGAGTCGAAATGATGTGATGTCGAAATAATCACGTTTGAACCACCATTAGGACTTTATCTGCAATCTCGAATGTAATCGTGTTGATAAGGCAACAAATATTGTTGTTACTATGACAACAAATAGGATGAAAGATATATATAGGTATTGACGTCTAGTCGCACGTGTCAAGACTTTTCTTCGAAATCTGCACAACACGTAAAATGTGCGTTATTTCTTAAAATACAACTAAGCCTAAGCATCTTAGAGGTCTGTGCACCAAGTTGTCGCCAAATTTGGTTTGTGATCTCAAATATTCAAGGATTCCCCCAGTGGCACAGTAAATCTGCAGACTTATAATGCTAGATACCTGTGATGGGCACAGCACAGATAGCCTATTGTGTTGCATTTTGCTTAGCTATAAACAAACAAACAAACAAAATTCAATAATTTCTAAACAACAAAGACAAATTGGTTTCCATTTTTTAAATGTGTCAAAAAGAGGCTTGTCCATATTTTTGTACGTGACACGTACTTGGTTTATAGAATATTTTATAAACCATATGTATGATTTTGTTGATCATATTGTCACTGAATGTGAAACAACGAGATATTTTTCGCAAATTATCATCATCTCTCATATGTACATATATTTTTTTACGTTACTTTTGTGCGTACTATTTCTGTAATGCACAAATTATGTTGTCAAAATGACTTCGGTAATGACTGTATTATTACCACTTTTATGCAAATTTGAGAAACATCATATCTTATTTCTGTCACGTTTTAAGATTGGTCTTAAATTTAGCTTTCAGTCTAGTTTACCTATATGTTAAATTGCACGTGTATTATATGAAAAATTCTGATCGCACGTTGAGAAGAATACTAATACTTAGCTTTTTAAATCGTGAAACACTTACTAAGGTTACGTGATTTCAAATTGAGGAATATAGTGTTATAAACTATAATCAACAGAAGGATTAATTCCATATTTTTATATTTTATAGTTTCTTTAGGTCGATTTGTTTTAAAAAGTTACACTACATCACATTTTTGTCAACATAAAATACTGGTGTTAATAAATTAGTGTATAAAAAACAACAACTATGAAATGGGAATGCCACCAAAGACTTAAATCGTATTACATTAATATTAAATTTTAAACGTAACTTAAACTACTCAAGTCTTTTTACTCGTTTCTTTCGATTCTTGTTATGCACAAAGAACTGTTTGATGTTGTTTGTAATAATAAATTTAATTATTACAACCTCTAAAATTATTTGATATTATAAAATTCCTGTTAATAAGTACGTTTTTTTTAAAACTTTGTCTTTTTGGTGCCTAGTCTTCTGTCTATTATAATTTACTGGGTTGCTGTATCTCCAATTACATGATACTTGACTCGCAATCTGAGGGCCGCGGGTTCGAATCCCCGTCCCCCCAAACATGCTCGCTCTTTCAGCCGTGGGGGCGTTATAATGTGACGGTCAATCCCACTATTTGTTGGTAAAAGAGTAGCCCAAGAGTTGGCTGTGGATGGTGATGACTTGCTGCCTTTCCTCTAGTCTTTCACTGCTAAATTAGGGACGGCTAGCGCAGATAGCCTTCGCGTAGCTTTGCACGAAATTCAAAACAAACCAAACCAATCTCCAATTACACCTGGTTTGAGAAAAGTGTTTTGAAGATCGAGTAAAGATATATATATATAGTTATTTGCCGCATTTTTCTACGCGTAAAAAAAAGGCTACTTACATACTTGTTTTTATTTCTTACATTTGTATCCATGTAGAAAATTTCAGTTTTAAAATTTGTTCCAAGATATATTTTGATACCCAAATTGCCATATTTTAGGTTTTTAGCACTCCTGATGTCAAGGTCACGAGCTTTGAAATGGAAATTTAACCAGATATGTTTGTTATCGGAAGTTTTGTTTAGAAATGTGTGAATAAGTTGATACAGTAGCCGAGACGTATTCGGGGGAGTAGAGGGGGAGCTACATGGATTTTTCCCTTCGAAATTTCATTTTTTTTTACTTTTATTATCTTGCTTATTTTTTTTTTCTGCATCTGCAAAGTTCTACTTTTTCTCTTGTATAAAGAGTGAGTTTTAGATTTAGTGAATAGTTGCTCAAATCTTTTGTGTAAGAATGTTTTTTATTGGTATTATCCACTGACTGATTTGTATAACAAATTAATAGTTTTGTGAAGGGCGAATGAACAGTTTTGACGCCTGACCTGTGACAGTGACATCATTAGTGAGGAAATGAACTATTGTTAGGCTGCGTACTATTTGGCTAATAAAATTTAAAGTGCTTTTCAATAAAAGTTTGCGAGGTGGTTAGGGCCCTCGACTCGCAACCTGAGGGTCGCGTGTTCGAATCGCTTTCACACCGAACATGCTCGCCCTTTCAGCCGTGGGGACGTTATAATATGACTGTCAATCCCACTATTCGTTGGTAAAAGAGTAGCCCAAGAGTTGGCTAACTGCCCTTCCTCTAGTTTATCACTGCTAAATTATGGACGGCTAGCGCAGATAGCCCTCGTGTAGCTTTGCGCGAAATTCGAAATAAACCAAATCAATAATAATAATAAAAAAACACTAAAAGCTGGCGAAGTATTGAAAACCAATATGCATAAGAATTCTAATAAAAATCAAGTTAAATAGCGTTTTATAGAGCACTTTGACTCTCATTGTCCAGCCCAACCAGTAAGTTCTGGCATTGAATAAGTACTTCTTGGACAGCAACTTGTTGGAGACAAAAGGTAGATCTGAAATTCTATTTTTGCACACATCTAATTAATGGTCAATTTAAAACGAATGTGGAAAAATATCTCCAGTTATCTTGATTTTTTATCCATTTCTAAAACTTTTCAAGTGGTGAGTTACCCAGTTGAAAAATATATTAATCTAGCCCTTTCATTAGTTAGATGGTATATTTTGTTTAGGATTCTTTGTGATAGCTTGGCCTCCCTAATATTAAGAATTGTGAAGGTAATGTTCACATGAATCAAAATGTTTTTGATTATTAATACCGCTACAATGATTTTAACGATCGATGAAAGTTAAACACTCGTATATTGTGTGAGTGTCTTGGAGAGTTACGTAATTGTAAATAAGTCTGGCAGAATAACATCCCCCTTTTTTTTCCAGTCCTGTGTTTTATCTTGGAAAACACGGTATTGGTTCTATTTCTTTCGCCATTGGTGGACATTGGAGAAGCTGGAGTGGACAGATACGTACCTTAATTTAGCATTATCGTTCCCTTTGGTCAGTTTGAGGATATCGTGTTGTTTTTGTACAGCATGCTGCTTTTTCCGTTATTTGTTTAGTTGAACGTTACTTTTTTCCCCCACAGATATTCAGGAATTCTATGAAATGACACTTCTAGACGACAACAAAAGTGTTCAGCAGAAGACTGCAGAAACTTTACAGATAGCTTGTAAATGGGAGAACAGTCCGCCGATTACAGGACTGAATAACGAGGTAGGAAAAAAGTTAGCAAAAAAACACAAACAACAAAAAAAAGCGTGGAGCCTTTATGATTGAAATTCTGTAACTTTTCCCGTGATTGATTGCACCTCTTAAATATTTAGACAGAAACCGAAAGTAATTTCGTTACACACCTAGTTCGTTAAATGTTCACTTCACATATTGTGAAATGCGATTTTTTTTCAAGCTGAAATGAACTTTCAAAGATTTAAATACACACACAAACAAACACACAACACACACACACACACACACACACACACACATATATATATATATATACACACACATACATACACCGCATGTTCCATGAATTTAGTAATGCATATCGACTTTTATTTGAATTCCATTTTTATTTGTTTGGAGTTATTCTGATGCTACGTGTATTTATATTTACTTCAGTTTCTGAAGACACGAGGAGACAAACTGTATATTTATGAAGAAAACCCCATGTGTAAAATAAGTACATGTGAAAAGCTATTATAATCCCCCCCCCAGGTGTTTAATTATACTAGAAATGCATGGAGAATCATAAATTTAGACAAGGTACAGGATGTTCAAAAAACTGCCACTTTAAATTTTCCATCATTCTCAATCGCCACATCTGGTGTAATTCTAACCGAAGCTACTGCCTCTATTACTTGTCTTACACGATTTTTATTGGTTCTCGTAATACTGTGGTTACTGACATACATTTTTTTCTCTTCAAATCTCCTACGTAGTATTGTTGATAGAAAAGAAAAAGAATGAAATAAAATCGATGTTGGATTTCCAGAAAAGTGATTTAGGGTGAAGTACAGTATGGTTTTCAACTCCCTGTACCATGTTCAAACTTTCCTGGATAAAATTTACGATTCTCAATGTACTTTTGATGAAATTTTATTGTTCGTAGGACACGTAGTTTTTTTTAGGTATTCAATATGTTTGTTTTTATATGATTACCCTGTATATAGACATCACACAGTGATATCACATGTGCTTTTGTTGTCTGTACTGTTTTATATGTGTGCTTACGGTGATCTAAGTATTTTTCATGTATGATAACTTTATACATTTTTATTAACCTTACTTTCTAATATGGCATGAACTCGTTCCCCCCGTAGAATCAGCGGTACGTTTAAGGGCTTACAACGCTAACATCCGGGACTCGATTCTCCTGGGTGGGTAGAGAGCCGATAGCTCATTGTGTAATTTTGCTCTAAAACAAGCAAATAAATATATTTGTCATGTATATAAAGAATATTTGTTTTTATATAAAATGAGTAGTATAACACGACAGCCAGCAAACACATGCAATCTTTGATTGTTTTTATTTGATTTTGTCAAAAGGAGCCATCACTCCATTGGCATAATGGTAAGTCTGTAGACTTATAACGCTAGAAATAGGGCTTTGATACCAGTGGTGGGCACTGCACAGATAGCCCATTTTGTAGCTTTACGCATTGCTACAGACAAATTTATTAAAAGGTAATGATTGAATAAATTTGACAATTTGTATAAAAACTAGAGTTGAAAATCGAACTCAATATGTCCATGAAGTAATACATCAAGAGGTAAATTTGTAGTTTAAATAGTGAAAATTTTATGCTAAAATTCATATTCGTATTTATTAAAAATAGCATAAATATAAATGCCAACATTTGTAAAGGTTAAATTTACGCCTCGGATATGTGCTGCCATCTTTTGTCACAAGGGAATATTTGATCTTATGACTTGTCAGCAGAGTTTTTGAATCTGTCTTTTTTTTCTTTTTCTTTTTAAACTGTTAAGTACAAGCTGATTATTGCTATGTGTAGTTATTTTTCCTAATATTTGATAAGACTTTGAGATTGATTGGTTAAAGCACTTCAAAAATCTGCAATGTGCACGAAACACGTATTTGTTCGTTAGATGTCACCACGTTACAAAGTAATTTTGTACTGTACTCACTCTGCCTATATAGTTAGTTTAGTGACGCCAGTGGTATTTTTTAACCGATGTTTGCATGTATAGGGGTTTGTGAGATTCGATTTATGAAGATTAACACTTTTACCATTATTGTATACTTGAAAAAAAAATATAACACTTGATGGTTATATATTGGGTTAAAATATTTTCGAAGTTTAAATTCTACTACATAGTATGGCGTGCCACTTAAAATTTCTGTTGTTGGGCATTGGGATTCATAGGTGATTTCATCATGGCACCTGTCTTTTCAAAAATCGAGGGTATGTGAAGTGAGGGTTTTTGTCCGCTAGAATCATGTAATTTCCAAAGCATTAGCAAATGAATGTTTATACTGACGGATATATTAATAAGATCAGTAAGACTTCTTTTTTAAAGCTGAAGTTTGGTTTGTAGGTTGTTTGATTCGTTCAATGTTGCACTGATCTACTCGAGGGCTATCTGCACTAGCCATCTCTAATTTTGAAGTGATAGACTAGAGATAAGGCAGCTAGTCGACACCAAACACCCCCAGCTCTTGGTCTATTCTTTACTAACAAATAGTGGAATTGACTATTGCATTATAACACCCCTAGTTCTTGGGCTATTCTTTACTAACAAATAGTGGAGTTGACTATTGCATTATAACACCCCCATAGCTGAAAGGGTGACCACTTTCAGTGCCGGGTTTCGATCCCGCGACCGGTTGATTGGGATTTGTAGATATACTTACCATATGTGTGTTGCATATGTTTTCACGTTTTGAGTTCATATTTCGTTAGAAATAAAATATATTTATGTTTTGCATAAATAGTTTTGAAAATCTTCGATTCTATATATGTTCTCCAGGAAGAATTAAAGAAACTATAAACAAACATCTTCGCATTATAATAATATGTGAAAAAAATGTCATGTAAAAATTTGCTTTTTAGCGTCATTGATGAGACATTGAAAGCGTATACTAACCAGGTGAAACCAATTATCTCTGTATTTTATTCACCAATAGTATTGGTTAGAATGTTAAAAATGTCTAGTTTTATTATTTTTAACTTTTAATTTTGCTTGTTATATTTTAGTGATTGTTTTGCGTTGTTAGATTAGGATATGGACCTCACTTAAATCTTCTAAACTAGCCAAACCTAGTGAGATATTATTGGGTTTACGACCAAAAATGTCGTTAACAGCGAGGGTACCCAACTGATGAAACAATGCATTCTACTCTGTATAAGTAAGAAAATTATAATTACTTAGCTCTAAGTAGATAACTTGCTCTGATCGAAAGTTAGTATTAATTAAATTAAATAAACCAGATGTGCAGCGGTCTATTATGGGAAATATCCCTTTTCCTTGTGTGCCCAGAAAAACTTAAAAACAGTAGTTTGGTTTTTTTGTTAAGCACAAAGCTACTACACAGTCTGTGCTCGACCCACCACGGGTATCGAAATCCGGTTTTTAGCGTTGTAAACTTGCAGACTTACTGATGAACCACTTGAGGGCTTTAAAACAAAGAAGAATTTAAGCTAAATACATTTTAAGTATGAAACGTAATTGAATTTCGTAAATTATTTTTAGTATTATTGACGGATTGCCCCTCAGTGGCACAGCGGTAAGTCTATGGACTTATAGCCCATTGTATAGCTTTGTGCTTAACTACAAACAAAAAAGTTGCAAATAGAGTAAGTGATTGTTTTTCAACATTTTATTTTTGACTTGAGGGGCATTTTAAAGGTCATTCTGTTCTTTTCGTCTTCTTTTATTTATTTATTTATTTTGAAAGATAAAGCTAAATAAATAAAGACCCTAGGTCCTAAGACGTTCGTGATTGTCGTGTAGCAGTTTTGAATCAGCTACAACAAAGAAAGTGTTAAATATATGAAAATTATATAATACGTATAGATTTATCTGTAATATAGAACGCTACTATATCAGAACATTTTTAGTTTGACAGTACCGTGACTGTCCACTTGGTCAGTGGCACGCGAATGTGTTTGTTGTTCAACATTTCAGCTTATTGTGATTAATAGTTTGTGCCCTCTATAGTCACAAAGAATATAAATCGGTTTCAAGTATATATTTGGTATGTTCAAGAGAGAGAAGAAAAACGTATACCGACAGAAAAACTATATATTTAATAGGAAATAATAGTTATATCAACGTACGAGAAAGTAATTGATCTGAAAACTGAACGTACATACACGCATTGTAATAACTCACGTTAGTCACGAATGTACAGAAGGACGAAAGCTATATCCATTTATATTGATATCAATTAAGCATGGGATATGTTTCGATTTGTCAGTTAAATCGCGGGTTCGAATTAAGGGGCCCGGCATGGCCAGGTGGTTAAGGTGCTCGACTCGCAATC